CACCTGGGGCTCGCTGGACGCCCGGCCGCTGCCCGCCTGGTTTGATGAGGCGAAGTTCGGCGTGTTCATCCACTGGGGCGTGTTCTCGGTGCCCAGCTTCGGCAGCGAGTGGTTCTGGTGAGCTGCAGCCAGAGCGTTCTGGTGGCACCGGAGCAGCTGCGGCGGACGGGCCGTGGCAGCGACCCGAGGGCTCCGCTTGGAAAGCAGCGCTCGGGGCAGGCGGGGATGGTGTGGTGTCCCCCCGTACTGCGGTGGTTTGGGTTGGAGCCCCTCTGCAGGCTGACCATGCAGCTCAGGTGTGTGGGAAGAGCTTAGTGTCCACCCGAGGCCACAGACTCCATGGCGCCGTTTGCAGAGGAAGTGGAGTTTACAGTGCTTCTGGTGTGTCTGAGCACCTGTCTGCCCAGCCCCAAAACTCCCGAATACCTTGGCTGAAGTGCCTAAATTCAGCAGAGAGCTGGTAGAGCTGAGAGAAGTGCTTTGCAGCACAGCAGTGTTGGTGGGAGAGGTGTTTGATGGAGTGGCCAGAAGCGACCCCTGGAGGACCGCCGTGAAGGGATGGGTGAAGGGGTTCTCCCTTGTGGGAGCAGGAGTTTGGCATCTCCCAGCCTCGGGAGCCGCCTTGTACAGCTGCTGGAGCACCCTGGGGAGCGCAGGAGCCCATCGCTACCCTTACTTGCCAAGCAGCTGTGCTGGTTTTTTGTGCGCCTTTTGTGCTGCTGATGGTTTTCTTCCCTTTTTTTTTACTGTTATTACCATTATTCAGGAGTGCTTTGCACTTAAAGCTCTGATCCTTCAGATAATTTTAGTTCAGGGGCTGAATGAAATCTTTGTTCTGTGAGTGCTCAGTGGTTCGGGCCTTCTGGCTGTAAGTGTTTTTGCTGTCACCTTTTCTTGCTCTAGCAAGACTTCAAATGAGATACATTATTATTTACAATATGAGGATAAAGGTAGCTTTGTGACAGAGCTATGGTGAACCTTAATTACAATGACAATATTTGCAAATGAAGCCAACATGTATCTAATAAAACCAATGCTTTCTGACACCTGTTCTTTTCAGAATTAAGTTCAGGTGTTTCAGCAGGTTTTTAATTCAGACTACATTTATTAATAAATTACTTTTAAAGGGGCAGGACAGAATTAGGTTTGCATTCAGGCCTCACTCAGAGTGCTGTACTCTGATAGTTTTGTACAGACTCAGTTTCTAGCATTTGGGTTTTGACCCCAAAACTCTAATTGCTTTTTATTAATTGCTCCTATCCCATGGCAGGTGTGGGTGTAGAGTTGCTTCAGGGCCTTCTGACAGCATGTGCAGTCAGATGATTGAGGTCCTGTATTAGCAACCTCAAATGGAAGGTCATAAACTATTATCACCTATCCTATGTGCCTTCCCTCAGAGCTCCACAGCCTTGGTAAGGATGTTTCTAGAATCTAATCATGTCAGCATGGAAATGTTCATGGTAGCAAACCATATGACTATGGGAGAGAAGCAAGGTTGTTACTTTTTAATTTAAGAAATTACATACTTTGAGATCAGAGGGATTTTAAAATGCATTTGTTGTGCTTTGGTGTTATTTCCTCTTCCCCTGGCTCTTTCAATGAGGAAAGCTGGCTCAGCCTCTTTCTTCTAAGCTTTTTTTCCCCGCTGTTGGCTGCCAGACATTGTATCGGTTTATGCTGGAGTGTTTTTGGGAAGGTCACAACAATATTCACACTATGATCTTAAAGAACTGAGGTCAGAGTCCTGCTCAGGACAGGAGAGAGAAACTTATTTCAAACATTCAGATTCTGGCATGTTTTATTCCTTCACTTACAATCTATTTTCTGATGTACCTAAATTTGACAAGAGGGTTTTTGCTGCTTGGTTTTGTTCATAGAAAGGTGACAGAGGTGCATTTGTCAGTGTGTGGCATTCTTGCAGGGGCAGGTTTTGGTTGGAGGTCATGCTTTCTTCTAGCAGGGTGCCTTTGCCTGCAAGCCTCAGGTGTGCAGAGTCTGCAGTGACTTGGTCACAGCTCTCTTTGGCCCTGGGGCTGTGGACATTGGGTCACTCAGCTGCAGTTCTGTAGAGGACTCGGGGCTGTTCGAGAGGTAAAGCTGATGATCCCCCTGTTTGTGGGTGGCAGAGCAGAGATACTGATGGCTGAGGTGTGAGACTTGAGGAGGTGACTCATGCAAGTCCAGGAGAAAAGCATTTCCTGTGCCACCTGAGCTGCCTACACAGCCTGTCTGTACCTGCTCTCTGGTACAGGTTTGAGATTTTGGTATTGACCAGGACTGCCATTTTTCCATTCTCAAAATGTAGCTGCTTTTCTCATTGCTTCAAATGAAATCCTGAGACCTTTCCAAACTGGAGTGCTTCAAAGATGTAGGACGTGGACAAATAAGATAGAAAAAAAGGAAATCTTTGATAATCAGTACTCTTCTGGAGCAGTTTTTTCTTATTGCCAGTATCATGTATGTCCAATGCCTCTCCCTCACAGTGTTAAATAGGAGCTGATGATTTCAATTCTCTTTTCTTTGTCTCATAATACATTAGCAGACATGCTTTGTTCTGTATTTTGTAGGTGGTACTGGCAGAAAGAAAAGAGAGAGCCCTATGTGAAATTTATGGACACAAATTACCCACCTGGCTTCAGCTATGAAGATTTTGGTCCTTTGTTTACAGCAGAATTCTTTGATCCCAACCAATGGGCAGATATTCTGAAGGCGTCAGGTGCAAAATACGTTGTCTTAACTTCAAAACATCATGAAGGTAAATGGAAGCTTTGTGAATGTTAGTGATTGCTGCATTTCTGTCAACAGACGAAAAAAGCAGGCAACTTTCCTGCCTTCTGAGAGACACAGAGAAAGCCAGGCAGGCTTACCTGCCCCACCACAGCCAAAGAGGAAACAAAAACCAGGTGATTTCCTGACTCGTACACACAAACTGTGGCCATGGAGTTTGCATAGGAGGAGCAATAGGTTGTGCCACTGTTCTCCTGCTGTGGGTAAGATAGCCTGAAGTGGTGGTGGTAGCTGAGCTTCCTGTGGTGGCTTTAGTTTATTTTTTATTTCTGTGCAATTTATTGCTGAAAGAACCGTAAAAGTGAATTGTGCACTGTTTAACATTTGGAGAGCTGCTGTGAGCAGGCAGTTAACAAACTCCCTTGGTTTCTCCAAGGAATTTAGGAATGTGTTCCAGGAGTCAACTTCAGATTTAGGAAGGTATAGCTCTTCCTGATGTAGTGCACAGAAGCCAAAACCTTGAACCAGATCTGTAGCTTTACAGGCACTTTTTGTCTTTTTGCACTGTAATTGTAAGATGCTTTGCAGAGAAAAGTAAAGAAAAATAAAGCTTCTGGAAGGAAATACAGTAGTGAAGAAAGTATAAAATATTAAGATACTACAATACTTGTAATGAATGTTGTTGGTCTTTGTGAGTTGTGGGTTCAAGGCTGGCAACTTGTGATGCGTCAGTTTTAATCTCAGCTCTGACAAGAATCAAGATAATTCTTGATCTTGATTCTTGTGGTGAAATTCCCAGTGACTTCAAAAGAACCAGGATTCATTTAGTCTGTCCAATAGCCTTGTGCATGAATTTTTAGGTCATTTAGTCATGCTTGCGCTGGACTGATGTGTGTCTCAAAGGTCAAATCCCTCCTGATATTTAATCTTGATGTTTTAAAAGCCGTTTCAGGAGTTTTTGCCCTCTCCTTATACATGTACAGAAGAGTTGATTGAGCTATTATAAATATCAAGGCAAACAAAAAGCAAACATTTGCATAAGATATAAACAAAAAATAGGAGAACAGTCTTGGAATGCAAATGATAGCTTGGGCTTTATGCAGCTGAGAAACAATTCTATCTTCCACTTGCTGATTGCATATTTACAGTTCACATTTGATGTAGATGCCTCAAAAGCTGCTGTATTTTTGGTTAATTTCAGAGTTGTAGAGTTAAAGAATGCCTTATGTTGGAAGAAGCCTTAAAAGTGATCTAGTTAATTTAACTGGGACATATGAACAGACTGAATAAATAAAGAGAAGGAATAATTTTCCTAAGCAGTACAGAACTGGAAAGTATAAATAGATATGTGTACATATAAAAAATACATGGTGTTCTGATGCTAGAACTACTCCCATTGTGCATAAACAGGTTATAGGCGCACTGTATACCATGACAACAATATTATTACATATATAATTTTTATTATTTTATTTTTTGCAACACTTACAGCCACTTTCCAGAAAGAACTGTAATGTCCTCTCTTCTTCTTTTCTTTCTTATCCTCTGATTTTTCTCTTTTTAGGCTTTACTTTGTGGGGGTCCAAATATTCTTGGAACTGGAATGCTGTTGATGTGGGACCAAAGCGAGATCTTGTTTCTGAACTAGCGACATCTGTTAGAAACAGGACTGACTTGCATTTTGGGTTATACCACTCCCTGTTTGAATGGTTCAATCCTCTCTTCCTTGAGGATGCCACCAATGCCTTTAAGACAAGAAAGTTTCCAACCAGCAAATCATTACCAGAACTCTATGAAATTGTGACCAAGTACCAGCCAGAAATAATTTGGTCTGATGGGGATGGAAATGCTCCAGATACTTACTGGAACAGCACTGGTTTCTTGGCTTGGCTGTATAATGACAGGTACATAATGATGCTGGTTTATCTCCTTATCTGAAATTCTGCTCTGTGTCTAGTTTGTTTCATTTTCTGTCTGTTTTGTGGAAGCTGCTACCTCTAATTCAGAGGACTTAACAAAATATTAATTGTCCTGAAATACACAATCCAGATGTTTCCTAGAACTATCAAAGCTGGCTTTAGAAAAAGACTGTTTTGTATTTTTTAAACACATTTGCAAATTAATTATTTAATATGGTATTGGCTATTCTGCTGAATCATGGTCTTCCCCAAGTATTAGCTGTTGCACAGAAACACAGGATAGCAGGACAGTTTGAGAATATGGGTACATTGTTGTCATTGCAGGCTGAACATCTGGCAGTGAATATGAAGTGCAGAGTGATTTTTTGGCAGAGCTCCTGTAAAAATCTGGAGCTTATTTCCCTAAGAAATTCTGATCTGGACCTTTTATTAGAAAAGCATGAGTAGAATTCCTGACATTGAACTTAATCTTATTGTAATAAATTAATAGTATGGAAGTCATCCAAAATGTTAGTTCCTGGGAGGGGTACGTGTGGGAAGGGATTAGGCTGGCTGCATTTTATGGAATAAAATTAATAAAACTCCTCTGTTCCCAGCCCAGTCCGGGACACAGTAGTGACCAATGACCGCTGGGGAGCTGGCAGCATCTGTGCCCACGGCGGCTTCTACACGTGCAGTGACCGCTACAACCCCGGGCACCTCCTGCCGCACAAGTGGGAGAACTGCATGACCATCGACCGCGGCTCCTGGGGGTACCGCAGGGACGCGCGGCTCCAAGACTACCTCGCCATCGAGGACTTGGTGAAGGTACCCTGCGCCACAGGAGCTGCTGCCACTCCCCGCTCTCTCTCCTGATTGTTGTGTTGTGCTGTTTAACAGTTCGATTATGTTACTATTTTTATGAATAAGATGATTTTAATTCAATAGAGAATCCATGAAATAATAAGTAGTTTTGTTAATTTCCAGCCTAATGCTGGCAGGATGGAATATCCATGTAATTCTTAATCTTCCTCTTAGTTGTTTCTGTAGAATGAATTTCTAGTGAAAATGCAGTCTGTTTGTTAGCAGGCATTTTCCCTGTGAGTAACTGGCAAAGGACTGATCTTTAATGTCATTAATGATGACAGTCTCATCATTACCTTTTTGACTGTGTTTCTGTGGTAACTGCATACACAAGCTGATGGGAAGCTAAGAGTTGCAGTTTCGCAGCTCCTGTTTAGGAAGTCCTGCTGGAAGGCTACATCTTTTTCCTTTTACAGACAGAAACAGTTTATGACTCAGCAGTAGTTTTACTTTGTAGTGAGGAGCTTTCCTTACAGACATGCAGGTAAACGCTACCAGGAGCAGACAGCTGGTGTTGTTAGAACATTGATTCCCTTACTAGTCTGAGGTATTAAAAAAGTTTTGAAGTTTAGGAAACCTGAATGAAAGGAAGACTGATCAGTCTTTCAGAATAATGCATTTAATTTCAAAATTCAGCTAGTGAGGGAAAGACTGATTGTTGTTGTTGCTTAATCCAAAACTGTTTCTAGTGCTGTCCTTGCAAAAGACAATTTCAAATTGAAGTAACCTCTTCTCAGAGGCAGAAGGTTTGAATTAATTCAGCAGCTTGTCTCCAGCTGTCTGTTTCTCAGACTTAAGCATCTCAGTCCATGATCTCTGGAGGGCAGTGTGGATGTGAACACAAGCTTTATAGGCTTTGTAGGAGGCTTCCTTGTGTTTTACAGATGTTCCTGTAAAATAGGAAAAGCATCAAACAGGAGGAAGGAGGAAGTTGCTTTTCTAAGATTCAATAAAGATGAAGTAGCAACTATTTGCCTTATTTTACTCTGGTGCAGAGAAATCATCAGTCCTGTTGGTAAAACCCTCATGACATTCCTGCAGAAGTTGAAATGATAAAGAGTTGCAGGATCTGATTCTAATGTAGATTCAGGCAGACGTATTGGTGCAAGGAGGTATTTGGGGCTGTGTTCAGATGTAAAAATTGACAGCAGAGCTTTGTTTTATGGGAGCTTGAATTTTGTATTAACTTTTGGGATGAACCCCGAAGTCTCAGCATGCAGCAGCAGCATAACGCATTTGGCTCATCATTCTGAGGCAGTACAGCAGACTTTAGAAGGTACTTCAAATATACTCATAACTGTATGCTCTGTGTTTAAAAACACTTCAGCAACTTGTGGAAACGGTGTCCTGTGGAGGAAATCTCCTGATGAATATCGGGCCCACTCACGATGGTCGCATCGCTGTTGTGTTTGAGGAGCGCCTGAGGCAGGTGGGCGCTTGGCTGAAGGTCAACGGAGAGGCCATCTACAGAACGAAACCATGGAGAGCACAGAACGACACAGTCACACCTGGAGTCTGGTAAGTCTCATGAACCAAAATGCAGGCTCTGGAAAGCAGTGCCAATGTTGTGTCAAACTTTGAAATCCCCAATGACTTGATGCTACAGAAATCACTGTCTTAGTTTGTATGTGGTGAAGGAATTAAGGCCTTTGTTAGTGTGAGTAACTGCATCTAAAGTGGTATGAAGCTGTAGGGAGAGACTCGTTTTGGGATGATGCAAGGCTGGAAGGAAAGCTGTGCAAGCATTTCTTTGGTGATCTTTTGCTTCTTGGTGTCAGCTAATCTGTTAGGTAATTCTGTTTGCTGCTAGTGGGCAACAGAAAGCAAAAACAAAATCTGGAAATGCAAGATTGCTATGAAGTGTTTCTCTGGATAAAGAAATACTCAATATCACTTCATGTTTAGAAAGAAAGTGGGAAGATAACAGCAATTATTTGGGTTGCTAAATACAGTCCACCTCTGGCCTCCCCTCTGCCCTTGTTACCTGTAGCTTCCCTGAAGCCTTCATGATCCATCAGGGTTTTGGTCATCACCCTCTTGTCTCAGTGGGTGTTTTTACTCCCATTCCCAGTAAGCCATCTGGCTTTAGCCTGGAGATGCTGAACTGTTGACTGCTTAGTAAAATCCCTTTTAAGAGCAATAAAAAATTGTAACTGAAGGAAGGAAGGAGGAATGTTTCAGGTGTATGCCGCAAGATTTCCAATGGCATAGTGATCAAAACAGTATTTTTAAAAACTAGCTATGCAAGGTGGAAACTCTGTTGCTCATACTATTTTATAATTCTTTTAGTCTGCATGCTAGTGTATAGATGGGAATTACCATGTTTTTCTGAATATAACCTAAAATTTTCTGTTAATGATTTCCCATCCTGTATCTCCTTCCTATATGGCTGAGTTGTTACAGTGTGCTAAAGTAACTACAGATGTTTACCTCTGAATTCAGTTCTTTAATAGTCTTCATTACCTCTAGTTTGTTGAAACAAATTTTCAAGGAACAGTACATTATTAAGGTAATAATTAATCTGACAAGGTGTTTACCTGTGTGAAAAATGTAATTAATCCTGACTTTTCTAATCAGTTTTTCCAGTCTCGAAATCACTCATATGCATCACTTCTAAAAATTTACAGGGAAAAGCTGACATGCCATTTTGGTCCCCATTTCCAACCAGGTACACTTTTAGCCCTGAAGAAGGGAAAGTCAATGCTATCTTCCTTAACTGGCCGATCTCTGGGATTCTGGAACTTGGTGAGCCACAGGCTAAGGTTGGAGAAACACAGGTAAAAGTGCATGCACACACACACACTCACATACCACCCCTCTCCCTTCCTCCTAGCATGTGTCATGTTGCATCTTGTTTATTTAAGTTTCTGGCATCTTTGGGAATGCATAGCTCTTAGGACAGAGTACTTTGGAAGAGACCCAGAAAAATGTTTGTTTTCTTTCTGGGACCTCCTTGTCATCGTCCTCCCAGTGGGATGTTTCTTCTCCAACAAAGTTAGACTGAGATGTTGCTGGGATATATTTTAGTTTGCAAACTAAGAATCACAAAGAGGCCAAGGAACAGGGGAAAAAACTGTGCCACCTCTCCTGTTTCCTGTGTAGACTCCTAACTCAGCATGACTTTTCTTTAGAAGTAGCTGTCCTCATGACTTTGGTGTACTGGAGCTGCTGTAGTGGTACAGTTGTTTGAAGTCAAAGCCTTGCAGGAAGGGAACATTCACAGAGGTTTTTATTGCCCAGGGAGGCTGAAGAGCAATCAGTGTGACCCTAGATGTGCATCTTATACCAAGTAGAGGTCAGAAGTTGAGGGCAGTGACGCCACACCTACACTGGCAAGTAGCAAGTAAGCCAGTGGAAGCAGAAGATGGTATCGACTCTGTGCATTTAAGGGGAGATTCACTTTGGCTTAGCTCTGCTCTGGTCTCATGCACTGCATGTCTGTTAGCTGCTGAAATGTGCTAGGAGTGTTCCTGGACTGCCCCTTCTGGTCTAGTTCCATACAAAAGTAGGCTGACTGGTGCCAAGATAGAGTCACTTCAGAAGTGATGGAGATGCCACTGGAATTTTGGGGAGGCAGCTAGACTCTGTGCACTAGAAAGTACTGTTCCTCAGCAGAGACTGGTCTGCAGCTGCTCCAGCAGGTCACCAGCTGGTGTAAGTGACAACATCAACCTGTTTGTGGTTTTTAGTTCTTCAGCTTTCTCTGAGATACCTGGCTGCATTCTGGAAGAAACGGTCATGCTTATTCAAGACTGCAAATGGCACCATGGGAAGCAGGCAGTTTGGAAACAGGGGATGCAAAGCCCTGTACTCTGGCTCCTAGATCCCTGCTTAGACATAAATCCCACCCCAAATGCTTCCAAAAGGTGTTTATGTACCTTCTACAGCCCTAAGGACTTCTCAAGACCCAACATTAATAGCTTTTCTCCTTGTATACCTAATTGCAAATGTTTTCCCATTACCTTTAATAACCGTCACTTGTTTGGTTGGTAAGTGGCATTGAAGGATACTTGGTAAGGTAGCTATGGATCAATATTTATTTTGTCAAGATTGCACTTACATGTACTTTGAAAAGGCACTGTTCAACTGTAGTGTGTCTTTCTATTTTAGGTGAAGCTGGCTGGGTACAAGGAACTGCTGAAATGGGTTGCCTTGGGAGAAAAGGGAATGGTTATTGCTCTACCTCAATTGACACCTCAGCAATTGCCTTGTCAGTGGGGCTGGACCTTACAAATGACTGACGTAAACTGAGCCATGCTCTGCTGAAGCCCTGGCTAGCAGGGAATGCTGATGTTTCACTCTTTCTTCTCTTGGTTTTAAACTTACTTGTTTGACTGAGAAAGACCAATAAATTCACTTTTTCTATGAGAGGTGGGTTGTCATTAAGGGATGGAATAGAATGGAACAAACCTCACAAAAAGTCTAGTATTTGATAATTGATCCTGTGCACACAGTTTCTTTGAACTTGTGTGAAACATGGAGCAGCTACCTTGATCTCTACACTTGGTTTAGTCAGTTTCTGGCCTAGTTATGTGAAGAATGAGGTTGTGGGGAAAACAGGCACTAGACTTTTAGAGACAAAAGAAGGAATGAAGCCCAAGCTGGTGTTCAAATGCACATAAGTCAGTTGTACACCCTCCTTAATGCAAGAAATTTACCTTCCACAAAACTGCACAGTAAAACCTGTAAGTTTTAGAGAAAAGAATATACTTTTTCCCTGTGTGTTTCGTGGGAGCTGGCAGTATCAGCTGAGTAGGGTAATGTCTGCACAAACAGGCCTGTAAGGGTTGGGAATTAATCATAAATGCATTCAGGCAATGCATCTTTCTTATCATGTTTCTTATCATGGAAATCATTAATTTTACATGTTCCTATTCTTGAGTAACTCCATCCATTATTGGGACACAGGTAAACTGGGAGAGAGTTGGCTTTCTTATATTTTGTATAATTTTATATGGGTAAAACTTGCCTCTTGTTTACAGCCTTTGTTTAGACAGTTACCAGGGTGCCTCCTGTGGACTATTAAACAAAACATGTACTTCAGTAACTAACTCTTGAAAAAGGAGAAATAATCTGGAGTTGCTAGGGATCTTCAGCTTTGTAAAAGAGACAACATTTTAAGCAGAGAGTAGACTGCATCCAACTTGAAAAATTTCCAAATTCATCATGTGTCATGATTTGTAGGGTTAGATATACAAGGTAAAACTTGCAAAGAAGAGAAGATAAAGAACAAAAAGCGTGAATTATTTCTGTTTCAGGGTAGAGACTGAAGGTTTATTTTCCCTGAGTAATGTTCATGAGTGCAAAATTAGTACTGTATAAGATAAATTTATTCTTTCAACTCTGTCAGGATTTTGAGTGGTTGACCAGGTCAGGTTATTCTCCTCCCTACTAGTAATGTTAATACACACACAAATTATACATTAAAATATTTTATTACAATACAGACAATTGGGCTCAAAATTAATACAAATTAAGATAAAATATTTACAGGGTAATGTGTACAGTGTAGCTGTTTGAACAGCAGAAACAAGAGAATGTCTAAAAAACCACATTCCTTTAGTATTAAGTAATGGAGAGAGCAGACCCCCAGCTTGTTCAAGGGGAACATGCATCCATTGGCAAAGGCTTTCTGAAGAATGAGAGACTTTGGAACAAGATTTTTAAAGTTAAGGGGAAAAAGATTTACTTTATAGAAAGAAAAATCTGGGGGAAGAAGAAGAAAAAAGCATTACTTCATTCTGCTGCTCTGTGCTATTCTTAGATCACTTATATCATTAGTTCTTCCCAAAACTTACACATCCCAGGCAAAAAAATGGGTTTTTTAGTAACTTTCTGTAATACTGCCACCAAATGTCTTTTAGATGCAATAAGAACAACCCAAGGAATTACAGAAGAGTTTAACCACTTTTTAATAGAAAAGTCTTCACTTACACTGTTTTTTTCAATAAGAATATTTTTAATGGGTGAAACATAATTTGGTTAGAAGAGAATGTGGGCTCACTCCCACTTTCCTCAGAGTGCTCTTTTTGCTGGTCTGCCACTCCTACACCATTATAAAATTAACCCAAGTCTCATCAGTAGTCACCAGGGATTTGTTATAAATACACCATCCATTCATAAAAATGTGCAGGTCATTTCTCTAGTTGCTGAGGGGTACTGAAAGCTTCATAAACATTAGCAGCAAAATCTTTCACTTGTTCCATCATCAACAGGTCCTGGAAGAAATGTATAAAATAAACTTCCTTAATCAAATACATTCCCCACTAGTCTGCCTGTGCTGTAGTACAGAATTCCTATGAAAAGCACCTGGCACTCCCATAGGCACAACTCAAACTTCTTGCTTTACAAAGGTTTAGGAGCAGACATGCAAGCAGTACCAAGCCAAGACAAGAAGTCTGTGGTTCTGTGCAGTTCAGCAGAAGAATGAAGTTCTAGAAAAGCAGTGTATTTTTGGAAGATACAAACTGACAAAAAGTTTTGTTACTGCAATTGTTTTCAGTTTATTTTTTAAAGCCACTGAAATTAAATTATTAAAAAGAAATACACAACATTAAATTCAATATTTTACTTGGGATATTGTAAATAAGGCAGAGTCTTACCTGAACAAAGTGACTAGGTGTTTCACTGCATACTGAATGGATCTGTCCATTTATTATTGGAATTATCTTGGCTAAAGGAAGACTGACACTGGAAAGACTAGGAGACAACAAAAAATATTGACCTGCTTTGACACAGATGAAGCCACTAAACAGTGATTATAGAATTCTAAGTAAGTACCACTTAAAAAGTAAGAACTGAAAGACTGCAAATTAAAACGTATGGATGAAGGGTTTTTTCCTCCATATCAAGGCTTTCCTTTAATATAGAGAAGTACCAATTCAATTCCAGTTCATGTTCCTATTGCAGTTTCACACTTGCTTCTCATTCAAGAGAATAATGGTTTTGTCAGAGTCTTTACATATGTATGTAAGTAGACAAGTCATAGAAGTGCCTGTCTACAGTTTCATGCTATTTCAAACTAAACCAGGCTTAGGCAGAGAGCCAAACAAAATATTTTAGGGTATTTTAAGTGATGTAAATAGTATATATTTAAATTAAAACATAACTCTCTAAAAGCCATTAGTCACTAAAATAAACATTCATAAATGCAGTTATCATTTTGGGTTTTAATTTTAATATTTGAGAAACAATATTTCAAGGATTTGAACCCAGCTTTTGGATTTGTAATGCTCTCACCACACTGCTTAAAACCAAAGTTAACTTCAAAATAAAAGCTATTTTTAAACATTCTTCTAGAAGGATGTAGAAAATCCTGAATATTACTGCATTTTATCTGCATACCATGAAACCTAAAGCTCCGTGGCTCCCTGTCACTGGAGGATCAGAGCAATGCCCACCCCTCTTCCCTGAGAGCCACAGGAACTGATGGAGGCTGGGGCACGGGGGGCTCGTGGGCTGCAGGGGAGGGCTCTCCTTCTCACAGCCTCACTGAGCACATCTGCCAGGAGTCACCACCAGAGGGTAAACCCTCCCAGCCCAAAAGGCACTCTGCCTGTGCTGTGTTCCAGCAAGAAGTGGAAGGCACAGGTCATCTGATCTCTTCTTCTAGGTCTGCAAGTAATGGTGGGAAAGAACCTTGCCTAATTCTAGTGATTTCATGGGTGGGAGGAAACATGAATCCTCCTAACTGCCCACTTGGCCAAAGAGAGAAGAACGCAGTGATCCTTGAAGACCAAGAAGCAAAATAATATTTCCAGCAAAAAAATTCCAAGAAGTCAGGAAAATCAAGAGCCTTTTTGGAATTCACTATGAACCCAAAAGCATTACTGACATGAGAACCATAACAAAAAAAAAACCCCAAAACATTTACCTATTTACAGAGCTGTTTTGAGAAAGGTCCTTTTCAGTAGGTCTAAAAAATTCTGCCATATTGTCCAGCAGTCGACTGAATCCTCTGTTTAAACATGTGCTCAAAACTGTACTGAAGTCTGGACTGAAAAGAAAGAATAATAGAAAAAAAGGTTTTATTCCTGGGTTTAATTTTTTTCAAACTAAAAAGCCCTGCAAGTATTAAGTGCTACAGGTGTGCCTCCCCTCATGGGTGATGTGTGAGCCAGACAAATGCCACTAGCATTGCCACCTCATGAAAACACCAGCTTCCTCAACAACCTGAACTCTACGCTAAGATTACTAAAATCCAGAAAAACAGGGACTTAACCGTACACATCCCTAAAAGCAGCTAAACTGAAAGAATAGTTTGACATTTGTCTCAGTTCCCTCAAATCCTATATTTATTATAGGAGCCTCACTTTTACCAGCTCTCTGGTAAAAGGACACAACTACCCTCAAAACCATGCATTAAAAAAAAGTTCCAATAAGCCAAATCTAGTGTTCACCTTATCAAAGCAAGTAAATCCAGTAAAATTACTCTCAATTTGCCCTGCTTTATCAGAAGTACTCCTCTGTTCCTAACTATAGAGCATGTGAGGAAGAGATAATAGGTCTGATTGCCAAGGACATCCTGGGTATCTCATTAAGACAGAATTATTTCTTTAAAAGTTTCAGCTTCCAAGTTTTGAAAATCCCAGCCTACAACTGATAAATACAAAAATTTAATGCAGAACGGTCACATTTCTCAAATGAAAAGTTTTCAGTTTTTTGTATGAAAGTAATCGTCTTATAGAAACAATAGTTTTGAGGAGGAGTTTAATATGAACACAGCATCTTTCTCTGTACCTTTCTAGCATATCTCTAGTTTCATTCAGTAATTTAATTGTAGCAATGTCTCTCTCTGTGAGTCCACAGGCCTAGAAAAACCAAAGACAGACACTATTAGTAAGTGCCATCAGCAACCGTAAGAATAAGAATAGAAATAGAGAAGTTGAGTATCATGGAATTAAGTCAAGATGTACAAGTCAAATATGAAAGAAAATATTGTTGTAAATCAGTTTCTTTATAATTTGTGTTTTAAATGGTCACTGTAGGATTTTTAACTAAAAACAATACTAGCAGGAAATACTAGACTATTTGAGGAAGTAATTTTTCCAATTCTGACCTTCAATACTGAAATCAACCCAGAGTATCAGATAAAGTTAAAGCAATAAATGCACGTAGTCACATGCTGCAGCCCAGGCACCTTCACAAAATTTAAGAAATTAGTGTTGTGACTGAGATTACACTTTTCTCTTGACTCCTGTTCATTTTTCAGCCCAAAGTATCAAAGGACTCCAGGACACCACTCTCTTGTGCACCAGCCAAGATGCTCCAACACTCCATGAATATTGCTGGTACACAAGTGCAGATGACACAATTTATCTTAGGGCTGAGTTAAGCTGTGTTGTGTCACAGGCTAAAGGCAGTAACTG